TTATTATGTTGAAGGTAACAATAGAGTGTATTTACGCTTTGAGTTGTTACAGGTGTAGTTTTTGACAGTATTTTTTCAAGTTGTGGGGGCTTGTTCTGCGACCTGCGCCTTAAAAGATTCGCGTGGGTCTAGGATTGCAACTTGTAGTTGTGAGTTGCTCCACAACTTGTATCTTATAGTTGTGAGTTGCTCCGCAACTTGTAACTTCTAGTTGTCAGTGGGCTCGCTGCTTTTTTATTTTTTGGAGTTGCGGGCATGTGCACAGCTTGAGCTGCAAGACGTTTCGCAACGTGCATTTTCCAGCTGCGCACTTTTGTCCGGTTCCTATTGTTGCTACTTGTGACTCCAGTGGTTCAAGAGACAACTGATTTGCGTGGCATGCGGTTTCACATTCATGTGCTGTTTGGGTCATGAACAACCATTCTAGCAGGTGTTCCAAGGTGTGTCAAAACAGAGAAGCCATGTCTGCCGCGGCAGAGGGTCCTGCCCAGAAGAAGCGGAAGTTCGCAGATGTTGAGCAGGACAACCTGCCCGAATGGCTGGCTGCGCAATTGGAAGGAGTTTGCACCGAGCATCAGAGGACGGCAGTCCGGCAGTGGTTCGCCAGTTATGGCAAGCAAGACGTGGCAACCATGCAGGTGCAAGTTTTAGATCTTGCCGTTGGCAAAATCTTCCCCAACGTGCCAGAGTCGGACCGAGTGCGCATAGTGTCGGCGCTGCACAACGCAACGCGCCCTGCTCCACCGGAACCCGCTCCTTGGCACCAGCGCACACCCTTTGTTGATATAGGCGTTCAATCAATATTCTGTTTTAATCGTATGCTTCCCCCGAAAGCTTCCCCGATAATTACCTTACTTATTGGGTTTAGGGGTTGGCTCTTTGGTTGTAGCGTAGCGGTTTATTCCCCCCTAGGTTTGGTTCCCTCGTAGGGTTTCCCGATTGGGTTTGTTGATTGGGTTGCTTAGTTGGGGTTGGGGGGTTGGTCTTAGGGCGTTAGAGAGGCTGTGCGTTGAGTGTTTGTTTTGCCCTAGAGCGTGAGAGAGGCTGGTTGAACGGGTTAGTTGTTGAGTTTAGTTCCTGGTGAATTTCCGAGCTACCCAGAGGTCGACAAAGATGGCTTGACAACGATCACGCGTGACTTTTATGAGAGCAGCGTCTTCATGCGTCAGGCACTCCTTGATCCCAATCTCAGTGCTTTCGATCAGACTACCGGCCATGGAACCGAAGACATCCCCCAACCTGTGAAGGCAAAAATCAGGACGAGGTATGGCAACAAATGTGCCTTCTGTGGCTTGTCAGAGACTCTTCTTACATCGCCACAGAAGCCTCGCAAACTCTCTTGCGCCCACCTGTCGCCACGCCCACAGAATTTCAATCAGGGCTTCAGAGGCGAGTTTCGAGTGACCTCCGAGCGCAACTTTCTATTGCTTTGCGGAGCTCATGGCAAGAAAGATTCTTGTCACGATGGCTTCGATTCTCACAAGCTTGCGCTTTTACCAGCTTGCTTTGGGCAACCGTGGACAGTGCTCAGTTGCTACGGGTCCAGAAGAGAAGAGGGCCACGGGCCACAACTGCAGCAACCAGCATTTCGGAATTTTTCCGAACACATGCTGTACTACCGTGCGCTCGCAACACGTCTACACAAGTTCTATGTGGAGAATGCAAAAGCCTGCGAGCAGATGCCGAACTTCGGGGCTATGGTCAGCGGGATCAGAGATGTTTCGTTAGCTGAGAGCCGTAGAGGGACGCGGGACAGGTCGGCTTTGTCATCGGATTGCGTCCTATCTGACCTTTCTCCTTCCGCATCGGCTGTGGAACCGCATGCGCTGCAACGAGTCGATGACACTTCTGTGCTTCAGACCTCAACTCCTGTGGTGGTGCCACCGCGCTGGCCAAAGCCAAAGGTGGTTCCGCCGCGACAATCCCAATAAGGTGTGATTAGGATGTGCAGTCGTCGCCAAAGTGACTTCCAGAACAGCTGGACAGAGACGTGAAAAAGTAGCAAAGGGAGCCTCCTAACCACATCCCACCTTCAAGCGATTCTCCTTAGAATTGAAGAGCGCGTCTCCATTGTGGTATTCTCCTAGCTTAGCCGGGTGAACTTTGATGGCGTTTTGAAATATTCAGCCGTTAACCGTTAACCCCAGTCCCAACCCTTAACCCAAATTCTATAAACCCTGGCCTAATTAGAAGTATGGCACCTAGGTAGACGTAAATATTATTCCTAGGATGGTAACTTAGGTCGGGATCGGTTGATATCCTAGCATTGAGGTTGAGATCTTAAGATAGATTATCCTAAAGTGCCGGGTGGGTGGTAGCATTTTCTACGCGGTGGACTTTGCCTATTTTCAGGTGG